TTTTTTTTTTGGCTGGGGCTGGGTTTGAACCACCACCTCGGGTGTATGGGGCCAGTGCCCTACTCCTTTGAGCCACAGGCACCGCCTTCATTAAACTTCTTTTATACAGCTAGCGCAATGGTGTGTTCTGATTATATAAGCACATAAGATATAGGACCTTCTCTAGAATTTAGGGCCTGGGTAGAGTGTACAGGAGGTAACTTAAACCAGCCGTTTTATTATGGTGTACTAAGGGCCAGAGCAAAATAAATAGAGGGTGGTAAGGGAATTAAGAAGAGGTACACCTGACCCAGGTTCAGGAGTATTTAGGGTGGTCTTTGAAGATTATGTTATGGAATGAAGTTATAAATGTAAGGGTGGAGGGGTGGGAGGTATTGCATGTCATAAACAGTCTCAGTAAGATGCATGGGTCAGCTTTCTCCAAGTTAGTAAAAAAACCCAAATCTTAGTGGCTTACAACAATATCTGGGGCTCATTCACATGTCCCCCATGAGTTCTCTGTGCTTCTATTTATAGTGTCTTCATTTGTATAACCAGGCTAAAAGGAGAAGCCTATATATGGGACAACTGTTCTTGTGATAGAAACAAAAGAGCCCTAGTGGAATTATATGATAATTCCCTAAAACTACTGCTCATAGATAGCATAGTAAAGTTATCATCCATTGGTAAAAGTAAGTCACATGGGCAAGCTTGATGTCAATGGAGTGGGAAGTGTACTCCTCTCACAGGGATGAGCCTAGTAGAAAGAACAGCATATATTTTAAACAAAAATTTAGTTCTAACATATAAGGATTTAGCTTTTTCTTTTTTTTTTCTTTTTATTTTTTGTGACAGTCTCACTTTGTCACCCTTGGTAGAGTACCATAGTGTTATAGCTCGCAGCAACCTCAAACCCCTGGGCTTAAGTGGTTCTCTTGTCTCAGCCTCCCAAGTAGTTGGGACTACAGGTGCTTGTCATAATGCCCAGCTATTTTTAGAGATGAGGTCTCGCTCTGGCTCAGGCTGGTCTCAAACCTGTGAGCTCAGGCAATCCACTTGCCTCAGCCTCCCAAATACTGGTATTACAGGCGTGAGCTACCACAACTGGTCTGGATTTGGCTTTTTCTATGAGTGAGATAGGAAACTATTGAAGGATTTTGATATGAGGAATGGCAGGATACAATGTAGTTTTCACATCATTATTTTGGTTCTTATATTTAAAACTAAGGTTGGAGCAAGGAGGGTAGAAGCTATAATTTTAGCATAGTGGTTCCTTCTTAATGTTCTTATGAAAAGAGGTGTTACTTTCTGAACAAAATAGAATTTAAATAAATTAAAATTAAATAGCCTGTTTTTTAAAAATCACCTTGGAAGTCAAACTTTATGGTATCAAGGTTAAGTCATTATAGCATAGTGGTTAAGAGCAAGTAGTCTATCTAGAGTTATAGTGCCTGGGTACAAATCCTGGCTCTTGTTGATACTTGATAGCTAGGAGAATTTCAGGAAGTTACTTAACCACTTGTGCCTCAGTTTCCTCATGTGTAAAATGGGCATAATAATTTCATCTACCCTATGATACTGTGAAGATTAAATGTTGTTAGCATGTAAAGCATAATAGGACTTGACATGTAGTTAGCATTATACAGGGTGGACATAAAGTTTGTGTGCAATTATATGTCCACCCTGTATAGGTGATGTTGCTGCAGGTTGGGGTTGTGAAATGGGAATTTCCTTGCAGAAATTTTATTGAGGAGTATTTTGGGGTTTAACAACTATGGGACAGCAAAGGAAACAATCGTATAGAGGGTGAATTTGAGTAGTGATTCAGCCACAACAAGTAGATTAGCTTATTCTACAAGGAGTGCTGGAGTTGGGAAGATCTTAACAGAGTGTACCAAATTAGGAAAAGGGGGTCAAACTTTTGTACCCCCATACTGATCTGTCATTTGGATGCAAGCTGCCTGCTAGTAAGGGGTAATGACTTTGGAAAGAGTCAGTTATTTTTAGGTGAGAGTAATTTCTGAGAAAGATACCCAGCTGTAAATACAACAGCTGTCAACACCTGCAAAAGGTAGAGTTGTGAACAATTCAGTCCTGAAGAGTAGGGGAATCTAGGTGGTACATCACAACATCTACTACAGTTGTTACTCTTTTCTTCAATCCCTCTTCCTCTGTAATAATTATTCTTTTTCTCTTCCTCCTCCTCTTGCTCCCCTATTCTCTCTCCCCCTTTCTCTCCCTCTTCCTTCTTCATTTCTTCTTCCTTCTTCCATATCCACTCTCTCCTTCTCCTCTTATTCTTCTTCCTTTTGCTGCTTATTCTCCTCCTCCTCATCCTTCTCTTCCCCCTTTTGTACTTCCTCTTTCTCTTTCCACTAGTCCTTCTCCTCCTCCACCTTATTATTATTATTACTGTTATAATCTAAAAAGATAAGATAGCTTCTCATTGAATTACTACTATTATTGTTGTTGTAATCTAAAAAGATGACATCTTCACATTGCTCTGGGATATAACACCCACATCACTGAACCATTTTACTCTTCCTAAAAGAGAGGCTTTGATAATAGAGCTTCATTTTCCTCTTAAATTATGTGTCAGTTTTCTATCTTTCTATGTTTCTTAGTAGACTTGTGTCTGTGTAAAGTTGTTTTTAGATGTTACCTAACCAAATCTCTTAATAGATTGTTTGCTGTTTAAATATTATTCTTAGATAAACTCGACACACATGCACGTTCAAAATACCCTCCTAAGAATAACCAAGGTAGAAAATAAGGTATTTCATGCTTTTCTCTAAAAAGTGATGATTGTGATCACAGAGAAAGTGTCTGATTAAATATTGGAAATAAAAAGAAAGAAAAGAAGATTGTAATTCTGAAATTCATATAAATGCAAGTATTTATTATTTTTAACCAGAACATTACCTGAGTAATGTGCTTTCAAGGAAAAACTGTGTATTTTGGTGTCAGGAGGAAGCATTTGTGACAGTTTACATTCTAATAATTATTTTCAGTTTTTCTACTATGTCCAAACACACCCACACATAGACACTTAATTGCATATCTGGGTAGAAATAATGAAAATTCTTAAACAGAATTGACTTTACTTATAACACAAGCCTAATCCTTAAAAATAGTGACTTTCCTGGACCTTTGAATAGAAAATTTACCTATTTTATGTAATGTGTTTAATCAAATGTTCACGAGGGAAAAAACCATGTAATCTCACATACAGAATGCAAGTATTTTTTATGAACACTATTCAGGTTAATGGTAATCAGAAATGATTAAATGCTTAAACTTACCCTTAAATTATGTGATAAGTTATTCTAGATAAAAGTATTTAAAAACAGGTGGCACCTGTGACTCAAAGGAGTAGGGTGCCGGCCCCATATGCTGGAGGTGGCAGGTTCAAACCCAGCCCTGGCCAAAACTGCAAAAAAAAAGTATTTAAAAACAAATACTATAAAATTAATAAATGTGTATTGCTATTTCTATTACTGTCCTAAAGGAAAATACTCTCAAAGCAACTGTTGATAAAAAAAAAAAATTACTAAAGAAATTACTATCAGTCCAAGGCAACAATAAATATTTTCAGAAGATTAGCATTTTACTTATAGTACTAGATTTGGGTATTTATATAAACTGCTTCTTCCCATGACTTACTTATAAAATCAAAGATATTCACTGCATCTGTTGCTTAGCTCTCATATGTCTTCACTCAAATACATATGTTGAGATTAAAGTACAAGCTTTCTTTTCAAGATTTTATGCACCAAGTTGAGGGTGATCATATGATCACATGATCATGGTCACATGAACGTATGCTATTTTGTTGAAAAGTATCTCATTCATTCTACATTAAGATAGTAATCATGATCTATGCAGTCATCCTTGCAAAGAACATCAGTGTGTCTGATTAGTTGCAGTGCTCATCTGTGATAGAAAGCAAAAGATTCTGAACTTCATAGTAGAAGTCTCTTCACATAGAAAGGAATCATGGGTAAGGCTCTCTGATAATTATCTTTACACTGTTGTTCAATCTTGCTGGTGAATGACTCTGTAATATTTATCTTTTGGTCTAAGTAATTATATAGCCACTTAATTCACTCTAAGTAACTGCTAGACTTATCCAGGCGATGACATTTTTAAAATTATGACTCATTAAAATTGGCCAAAACTACTATTTTTCAAAATTTGGATTTGTGATACAGCTTTAGCAATTAGTAGATGATACAGAAAATATGATTATGGGTATTCAGAACTGTCATTTGTTGTTTATCCAGTTCTGAACTGTGATAGATTGAATAATGGCAAAACAGTCATTTTGAGATGAATTTTTCTTTCTTTTTTTTTTTCTGAGTGAAATAACTTTGTTCTATCTTCCTGGATTAGACTATTTCAAATAT